CAAAAACAGGTCCACAAAATTTAATAAACTATTATTAAAATTATCATTTAATTAAAATATTTTATAATATTTGAAACGTCGGGCACGTGCACAATCAGATTTTCTAGGCGCAAAGGACACTGCTGTTGAGTGCTTGGAGTATTGTTTGGACGGCAACAGGATTTCAGTGGTTGCTATGGCAACATGGAAGGCCCAATGAACCCGCGTGTGCTATCAGACAGGGTTGTGGGACGAGTAGAAGGTGCAGTTACGTTAAAAGCGTAGATCGATGAGAGGGATACATACGTAACACTAATATTTAAAAATTATTTCTGACATTATACGTACTTTCTTTTCGTTTTAAACCATAAATCAATAATCCTAAATTATAGTGAATATTTAAGCTATACAATTTTTTTTTCAAAAAATGTTAGGAAATTTGGTCATACACACTTTCATATTTTTTTTTTTAGAACACAACACATTATTTATTACGTTAGACATCAGTTAATTATAATTTATAACTACCTAACATTTATGTTCATAAATATTTTAAACTATAACATAGTATTACTATTAAATTAACAATTATATGATACTGTTCACTGTTCAGTAATTATAATTCAATAAATCCAATCATTCATGATTCATTTAATTTATCAATTAAATGAAACTTGTTCAATACTGGACATAATGAATGGAGTAATATTATACTCCAAATTTCAAACAACAGGATAGTATTTTATTAATCCGATTGTATACGTGCATAAAAAATTAAACAATAAAATAACAAAATTAATTATGATGATTGATTGAATTAAATATACAAACGGAAATGTTTTTCCCATTCAAGAATCCTATAAAAACAATTTTATTTTAATAAATATTTGAAGTAAATAAAATAAATAATATTATCTAAAGCATAGGCAATAGAATATTATAATATATATTTTATATTCAAGTATCAACATTAAATACATATTGAAATATTAAAAATATTTAATTCACTATTTAGAATAATATGGAAATTTAAAAATTATAATTTATGAGTTATGACAATTGCATAATATATTTTTTTAAATAAAGCACAAGACATTTTTATAGCTTTTGTATTTTGGTTTATGAAGGACGTGTTTTTATTACGAGTATTTTTAGATTGATACTATAATAATAGGTATAAGTACTATATAACTATATATTATTTAATAAAAATCGGTTTATTTCAAAAAAAATTATACATTTATAATTTAAATTAATTACCAATTAGAAAAATCATTTTTCTATTTTAAAATCAAATTCCATTAAAATCATGTAGATAAATATCATCACATGGTTATCTATCTTTAGTTACATCCAGAATTATACTTGATAATAATATATTTAATACTTACATTTAACTCTTTGAAGCACGGGTCAAAACTAAATATTCACTACCTAAATGCACAGAAACTTTTTTAAAAAAAAAAGTTCAAAATTTTGTAAAAACCTTATAGTAATGGGTCAATAAATGATATATGTACCACAATTTTAGTAAAATTTAATTTACTTACAAAGTTATTTAAGTTTTAGTGGTGGTTACATACACTAACCACCATGCATACATAAACAACATATTTTTTTTTTATAACTCAAACTTCTTTATTAACAAACGTAATATAAAATAAAAATAATAATATAGATAAAATAGATAATAACAACTTATGAATTCTTGAATAACCAATTAATAATCAAACATCTGAAAATGTAAATTCATATTTTAAATAAATTAATAAAAACAATTATTATGTTATAAAAAGTTGCAAAAATATATTATATTCAATACATAAGCATATCAATTTAGTAGCAAAGTACAAAACAACACAAAAAGCATAACATTGATCAAATTAAATAATTACCACATTATACATATATATTATTTATTGAAATAATTTATATGTCATAGGAAGCAGCTGAACATGTATCTTTCTATAGAATAACATAAAACACAATAAACAATTGAGTAAACTATTACCAGCTTACCTTTTGCTAAATGAAATTCTTGAAAACAGTTTTTTGACTTTTTCATGCACAGACTTACTTTGCATACTAAGCACTCCCAAATGCTTCTTACAGGGTTTTTTTTAGTACTGCAATTACCACAACGCCTAGAAGTAGTTCTTTGAGGTTGGTGACTGGAACTTTGTAATCTAATACTTTGGTTTATATAAGGCTTCCGTGTAGCAGGGCCTCCTTGAGATAATGTTTTTTTGGATTTTTGGGAAACCGCCACTAATTGTTCTGATAAAAGTGTATTGTAAATATTTCTTTTGAAATTTTTATTTTTAAAATGTTCTACATTAGGTAATTCCCTATGTATAATAAATGCATTTGTTATTGCACAATCTACAAAATGAAACACTAACCGCATATACCACTTAATAGATTTTCTGTCTAATGAATAATCTCCTTTTAATCTGTCAAAATTGTCTACATAATTCATGTTTTTATTATAATCAACTAATACTTGTGGACAGGGTACGTTTATAATTGTTCCATCTTTTTGTTTTCTTTTTACTGAAATTGGTTCTTGAGGTAATGAACGTGATGAAAGTAAATGAACACTTCTTTTATCTCTCCATTTACACATTGTGATATTTGTATTACTAGTGTTCCAGTCAAAGTCACCTCTCATCATTTTTTTATCATCTGATAGTTTTGGTAAATCTTGTATGACGCGACATCTTTGAAATTTTAAGAATATGATTCAAACTTCAAAGCGAAATAATGATTTTTAAATATTTATAAATGCTTATCAGTTATCAATAATGTGCATATTATTTTGAATGGTGGTTATTGCTGGATACCACTACAAAGTATTAATTTTTATGCCAATGATTGTTGCTAGGCGATAGAAACTGATATGAATGAAAAATATACTTATCAATACATATACCAAAGATGTTACAAACAAAAATTGTATTTTTAATTTATACATCGGTGACGATAAAGATAAACATCTGCAATACCGTGTATTGTACGCTATGACACAAAATGTAAACAGTTGGGAAAATACAACTATTTATAAATAAAAATGTTAGTATATTTACTAACCGTTTGAGGTGGTAGATTCCATTAACCACTATGCGTGAACAAGATAAAATTATTTCATTGAGGTGGTTAGTAGTCATGACCACCATGCAAAAATTTAAAAAAAATAGGTGGTCAATACAACTTACCACCATGCTTCAAAGAGTTAAAACATACATATCTACTTTTAAAAACAAGTATATCTATTTTAATAATTTACAAAAAAATTTAAGTAAATTTTAAATATAGATGTAGTCACTTATTAGTTATTGTATTTATAAGATAATACATTACACCTAGTTTCATAATTTAAACATGTAGTTTCTTTTGAAATAACTATTTTTAAAATGCCTAGATACGCAGTCACGCAAAGGTAAGATAATTTGATGGTAATCTTTATTAGATAAAGGTAAAAAAATTAATTAGCATGATAATATAATATTTTAATAGCAAGTTTTAGTTCACAACCAAAGTGATGCCAACAGGATGGATATTCTTTAAATGAGTGGTCAGTGTTTGAAGTCTAAGAACCCATAAAACACTAAATCGTTATAATATAAAAGAAAAATATTTACTAAAATAAAATATTTATATCTATATTATTATTATTATTTTTTTTTTTTTTAATAGCTACATACCTATAGATAAGTCAAATTCTACCTCATCGAACCCGAATTATTAAGATCATAGCAAGGTAGCAAATAATGATAAATAGTAGGGATGTCATAAAAATAAATATGATTGTTACGACTTATGATAAATGTTTCTTGGAAATCATGGATGATTAACAAAAATTAATAACCCGAGTAATCAAGTTCTCATATAATTATATATACTAGATGCATATATTGTTACAAAATCGTTGATTGAAGTATGAAATATATCATGTTTATCCCATTCATAATACAATACGCCATAATAGATCTTTCTATAACTCGATATAATATCTATAAAAAGTTTTATTATAATGAACTATGGTCTTCAAAAATGAATAGATAACAAATGGATAATAAAACAATTGGTTTTAATCGATTGATAAATATTTTGTCACTTGTTAAATAATTATTTTTCATTTAAATAATTATGTTATTTCGTATTCAATGATTTGAAATTTCTATTTCCACACAGTTTAAAAAAATATATACCGATTATTAAAAAAAAATTTTTATTTTTTATTTTTTGTAAATGAAGCAGAATTAAAATTCTAGTCGAGATTAGGTACTTATTAATTAAAGGTTAAATGAGATTTACATAAATTAAATACATTAGCCAGTAGGAATGATAGTACCGTATCAATGTGTAAGAAATCTAAAATAGCGTTTACTTATTTAATAAGATTTTTCGGGTATAGATTTATTTTGAGATCCAATGAAGGGAGTAACTATATAAGAATCCACAAATGTCTACTACGACTGTGATGTGCATTAGAACAGAACGCCCCCATTACAACAACGTTCATGACTCATTCAGTCATTCGTTCACCCCCGTCCATATTATACACAAAGGGACTTCCTGTCAGTACAAGCGTAAAAAAATTAAATCAAACTATTTAATATTACTTATTTACCAACGCCGAATGGCAGTCAGATTTTTGTAACAAGAGTAGGTAGTCGATTACGGCACTTACACGTCAAAAGATTAATATATTCCAAAAATTTGTAAATACTTTTTTTTAGGTTTAATTAATGATACCAGAGAAGTACTAAAGGTTATTATAGTTCTGGTGCCATTAATATTTGCATGTGCCTACACCTACATTTAAGAAACATTGCGGTACCTAAATGGTTCGATACGACGTAACATTTTAAGAGCCGAGTATATAAATATTTAGATACCAGACATCTAGGTAAAATTACTATGAATAATACAATATCGATTGTTGACTCGCGTTTGCATTCTAGTCAATAAACAACTTACACGAGTACTGTCGACACTAGTAACAAAGTAAAACTCAACCTTTGTGGCAAACGTAAAGATAAGGGCCAGCAGAAGCTTTCCGCAAGACCCCATCTTGAGGTCTTTGCACGCCACTCGAGTCGAGCCGGCAACTTCTACTGAAAACGAAAATCCGAATAAGTTTACTAGGTCAAATAGCGCACAATTATATGTAATTATATTATGAAGAAAAACAATAAGATGCACCACACAAGAGAAGCGAATAGGACACAAAACACAAGTACACCAAACACCGCGAACGCCAAAACACGGACTGCCGGTAAGGAGGCTCAAGACACTACCATTACATTCGAGCGGCGGGCGCGGTGACGGACGGATTCACAGTGTGGCCACCAGTACAATCTTTACACATTGTTATTTTAAATAATTATTTAATATTATTAATTACGTAAATGAATAAAATGTACCTAATTTGGAGTTTGAACTTTAGTTAGCCTTAAACATATTATTAATTACTACGTGTTTACGGTTCTATATGTAGGTATTGCGTATATTTTATAATATTATTTAGTTTATTTTAGGCTAATAATGACGTGTATTCTTAGATATCTAAGTAGTTGGATCATATTATTACAGATATAAATTATATTATAATAATATGATCTATGATCTACCTATGCGTGTCACGTGAACCCATACATGTAAAACTATGTTATAGATAGTAATTTATTTTGAAAAATCCAAGCAATAATGATTAATTGTAATTTTACAAATTTTAATTATATTGAAAACATTTCTTAAATAGCAATGTTAAGTACAAATTTCAAAATAAACTTGTGTACATGGACTATGGATAATTTAAGACATTTAGGTAGTCTAAAAATACAGATTCGTGAATTTTATTTTAAATAGTCACTAAATTTGTCAACAGTTTTTGTATGATTCAGTTATAATATGATACAAATTTAAAAATTTATTTTACGAATTTGAAACTAATAATAATAAAGCTATAATCAAAATTAATCTAGTTCAATTAATTATAGGTAGTTGTCTAAATACTCATCTAACCATCCATTAAATTAATTTAACCAATTAGTTTTTTTCATACTTAAATTGTATTTATTTTAAGATAAATATTAAATTATTTGAATTCTTATGACGCTAACAATTATAATTAATATTAACTTTGAATTATTTTTAGAAATGTATCAAGTTCTCAGTTAATACTTTTACAACTTTATAAACTTTTATCATCAGCTAACAATAGTCTACAGAAGTTTTTATTTAATGGCCAACGAAACCATAGGTCTTATAAGACTACCTATTATTATGTATTACTCATACGATTGCAGCTATACTATTTGTACCGTAGGTATCCATTCATACATAATTTAACAGGGGTGATACCTTGAATATTAATTGATAGTATGTTACCAATAAGGTACCTCTCTCCACATAGTGACTACACCTATTAGTTATTACTACGGTATCTACAATACGTCTTGTTTTTGCTGCCAAGTTTGAATTTTCTAAACAATTATAATTTTAGTACCCACAGAGAATATAATGCTGTATAGGTAATATTTAAACATAGCTACATATAACTATACTCCTCATTAGCATAATTACATACCTTAATCCTATTATTCATATGTATAAATACTTTAAACAGACAACAGTTGTCGTTCAACATTTCGATTAAAATTTCTACTGAAAACTCATCTGCTATAACTTTATAATAATATATATCTATAGCTAGGGTAATTCCTCAATCAAACAACGTTTAATATTTATTATTTCAAAATCCATAAACTTTTTTGAAAATATTTTTCTTACATAAATACATAATTTATATTTGAAATAAAATAATAATTTTTATCTTTATATTTTTTACGTATTTTACTTTTTTGAATGACTATATACATATCTAAATTCATATTCTGAAAAAGAATATTTTTCTATAAATGTCTTTACATACAAATCAAAATTAGTTAAATAAGTATTTAAATTTTGATTAGGGAATGGATTGATATAGAAACACTCGGCCGGAAAATACATATTTAACTACTTTTCTCACCTAAACTTTAAATATTTATAGGTAACTAGGACTAGGAATTTCATGCTCTAAAAACCTTTAAAAAATGCATGCATATATGATATATCTATACCCTTAAAAATTATCATAATATGCACTTAAATAAATTTTATTTTTCATTAATAAAACAAAAATTATAAAATGTATGGATAGGTAAATATAAAATAAGGCACTTTTAATAAAATTTCCACAACAAAAAAACTTTAACATGTATAAAATATTACACTAACTGTATTTAAGATTAAGACAGAAACACATAAATATATCAACAGACTGGTCGTATTTGGCGTATTCCTTATCGACTATGTTTTTCACAGTACTCAAATAATTGAGAAAGCACGTCATGATAGATAGGTATTTTAATCATTTTAATCTATTTATTTTAATTTCTTGAAAATTAATATTAATTATTGAATAGTACATAAAAAATATTAATTTCTATGTCGCATATTATTTAAATATTTTTTTTTTTTTTTTTTAACAAAAAAAGTATGTGAAATATGTACTTAAAGAACAAATATAACAAAATAGACTCTAAAAAGGAAAAAAACTGGATATGCAAAATAAAAATGATTGCTTTAAACTTTTAGTGGTATGAAACAAATTTTTATATTACTTAGCTATATTATAAATAATTATTGAAAAAATGCAAACTCTTATAAATCCCTAAGGACTTACAATTCTCAACCATTCTTCTTTATTTTGATTTAAGATTCAGTGCAGAGTGCAGAGCGATAAATGTAGATATTGATTTTACTTTATACAAAGATGTGTATGTGTGTTTTATACCTATAGTGTACACGATAATTAATCAAAAAAATGATTTAATTTTCAACTTTGGAGGTGAATGAATATTGATAGCAAATTGAATTTAGTTTATACTTTAAAGAGGTCCAGATTAAAATATTCGATTTACTTTTATTTTTAATTAGGAATAAACAAAAATTAAGTTACTTTATAGGTATATTAATGTTAATCAAATAAAATTTTAACGATTGAACAGATTTCTACTAAATTGATTTCTTATTTTGAATTTTTTTATATTTAATTCAAAAACGAACGATCACAGAAATTTAAAATTTCATATTTCACTAAGTGCTTTATATTACTTTTTTTTCTATACATGAAATAATTTTCAAAATATTTTGAATTTTTTGAGTTATTTATAGATATAGAAATTATATTTTTAGTTTTGTTTTTTTACAAACGTCGATACAAAAATGTATGAATGTAAGAAATTATTAAATATTTTTTACAAGATTTATTATTAATAACTCATTTACTAATTAAAAATTTTCAACAATTCATAGTCACAATAGATGGTAAGTAAAAATTATAGATAAACGAATAATTTTAGAATTTTGATCGAAAATTACAAACAATTTATCGCTATATACTAATTGAGCCTCTATACCTGAAGGGGAATAAAATAATATACTAATTGAGTCCGAGGCTAGGAAGCTAATAGTATACGAATTGAATCCGAAGATTATTTTGAGTAAAATATAAAATCAACCCCCTTAAGTCCAAGCAAAGCGGAAATTATGCCGCACAGCTGTCATGCTCGTCAAAATGGATATACGTATATATAAATATTTTGTATATATCTGTATATTATATTTGTTGTCTCCTATGGTTAAGTGGTCGGCCTCGATGACTACACCACCGAAAAAATAAATACTAATAATCATTGAGAACTGCCTAAGGAGAGGTGACCATACAAGATATAAAGATCTGAGTCGTATTTAAATGTATATAAGAAAAATATAATATTACAAACACGTGAAAAGTTATAGTATCACTGATAACGAAGTATTTACAAGACAATTGATATTATGATAAATGATACTACAATCACTATCGTTGTGATGATAATAATATATTATGACATGTTTTTTTTTTTTAAATTGACGGGACTCAGTTAGTATTAAAACATGAACTCAATTAGTATTATACCTAAAATTTCACTGGACTCAATTGGTATATACTCTAAGATACCCGGGACTTAATTCTTCATAAAAGGTTATACTGGGACTGAGTTCGTATGCAGCCCAATTTATAGCAAAATAATCATAAATAATTTCTATTTATATCAAAGATGTCAAAATATAGTATAATAATTAATAACATTCTTAATACTTCTGCATCCGTCATTAAAAAAAACACATTTCTACCAAACAGTCAAATAATTTGTTGACCATTTAAAATGTTAAAATTTAAAAATTATATAACAACAAATAATTGTAGATACTTACTTGAAATTTCCAACAAATATTTATGTTATAATGTATTATACATAACATAGTTTTTTAAATATTTTGAACTTTTTTTAGCTATTTATAGACATAAGCTTCAAGTCGCCAAGTGGTGGGAGATAATGATAACCGGCTAAAACCAAAATCCCTCAAAGATGTTTGAAAGTATAACAAAACAATTATTTTGTTTTTATGAAACAAATTATAATAAATGAGAATAATATATTAAAAATAATAATAACACTCTTATCTCAGGCAGTAGAAATATTTATCTTATTTCTCCAAGGTTACCCCATTACTTTTATTATTTATAAATAGTGTATCCAATAATATTAACCACTCCAAATTGTTAATAATTGTCAAGATTAGTAAATCATTCGATCAAATTAAAACATGTAACTGTGATATTTTTTATTTATACTAAACGATATAAACCTTTTTTATTTGTTGTCGTAGTAACTACGAATCATATCATTGAATATAAATAAATATAATATATTATACTATTTATATTTTATTGTAGGAAAACACTACTTATCATGACTGTGTTGTTATTAAAACGATATAAGAGATCAAATCGGTAGGGAAATAAAATCTTTGTATCATTTTTACTTTGATTAACTTTAATAACATAAAAAGATATATATATGAGGCTTTATCGTATTAGAATTTTGACAGTGTCAAAATCTTTACAATTTTGTGTTTTTAATTAAACTTACCTATCTATAAGACCGCACTGATTATAATGATTGGTGTCATTTACTTATTGATCAAAATTTAAAACAAAATACGCGAAATATTTCGTGAGTAATAAGAACACGATGTTTTAACTATCGGTTTTGCTAATACTACTTTTTCTAAATCAAATCAACAATAAAATAAAAACTAAAAATAATAGTTCAGACGCTGCGCAACAAATAAATAGTATGAATATTGAAGATAAAAGCGATTGCAAT